GAAGGCAAGTTCCGTGGAACACAGTTGCGTGGAAGATTCCAAGCAACCCCGTGTGCATTTACACTGGAGGCCTTTAATCTCTCTCTCGGTCTCTCTTTGTCGTCTTTAATTCTCATTATAAATGGAGTAAGAAAGGTTTTTGGTGACTCCGGCCCCTCCATACCTCAGAAGTCTTATTAGCTAGCTATACCAATAGAGAGAGAGAGAGGGGGAGAGAGAGAGAGAGAGAGAGAGAGTACTGAGACGGATATGATTCCACCAGGGTTTCGATTTTACCCAACAGAAGAAGAACTTGTCTCATTTTATCTGCATAACAAGCTTGAAGCAAGGAGAGAGGACCTACTACGGGTTATGGACCGCCTGATACCGGTTCTTGATATATACGGGTTCAATCCGTGGGAGCTTCCGCGTAAAAATCTTCTCTTCGTCAAATTAATTATTCAATGCCCTTTTTTTTACTCACATTATTATTATTTTTCATCTTTCCTCATCCATTTCTTATCTTTCACTTCATGTTTAATTCCCACGTCGTTAATTTGATAGAATAGTTGTGATTAATGAAGGATATATATATATATATATATATTTATATGTATATGTATGTATGTATGTATCTCTTTCTCATTCAATTACTTTGATTATTCAGAATTTTCAGGAGATTTGTGCAATGGAGATCCTGAGGAATGGTTTTTCTTCATTCGAAGGCAAGAAAGCGAAGCCCGTGGAGGGAGGCCGAAGCGACTCACAAGTAGTGGATATTGGAAAGCCACTGGCTCTCCTTCTCCTGTTTACTCTTCCAATAGCAATCGTAGCATTGGCGAGAAAAGAACCATGGTGTTCTACCAGGGAAGGGCTCCAAGAGGACGAAAAACCGAGTGGAAAATGAACGAATATAAGGCTATGGAAGAAGAAGAAGCAGCATCATATTCAAATGGTGGACATCCAAGGGTGCAAACTATATACTACATCCTGTATATTACGATCAATTTAGGTCTTTTCAATATGTTAAGGGGCGGTTATTGTCATATAAAACTGATACTGAATCCTCACCGGCCGGTTATCGGTTCGTCATCGATAAACTTCATCTAAAAGAATATAATCATGTTAACCTCTATTATTAACTTATCTTTATGGGCGCGGAAAAGTTAAAAAAATTAATAAATTCTGAGGGGCAAACCTAGTAAAGTTTGTAATGCTGTGTGCTATGATCTGCCATAAATTAATGTCCCCTTTCTCACGAGGTACACTGCATATATTAAGATCGTGTTTTTATTACCATAAAATTCTTCCTTCTTAATTTATCTAATGTCCTGAATATATTTTGCAGCTAAGGCAAGAATTCAGCTTGTGTCGGGTTTACAAGAAGGCCAAATTCGTGCGAGCATTTGATAGACGGCCATCAGGAGTGGAGATGGGTACTGAGATGAGAGCTCAAGCAACCCCCGGCAACGAGGTCACATCATCTCATCAAAACCCTTCAACGGCGGAGACACCATGCTCGCATGATATTTTATCCTTAGGAGACCATGGCCAGACCTTCCAAACTGGAGAAAGTAGTTACATGGCAGGCATCGATACTGATAATGAACCTATTTGGGACTGGGAGCAATTAGAATGGTGCTACAGTGACAGGGACAATATTTAAGAAGTCCAATCTGCATAGCTAAAGAAAAGGAAGTAGTCTTAATCTTATATATGGACATCAAAGCCAACTTCACGTTTCATTTTCATATGTAATTATTATCTGTAATATTAATTACATTTCCACACACACACACACTCATGGAACATCTACAGAAATAGGAAGTATTCTTATCGTTGTATTTTTCTTTCAAATCATAGCATTGTTTAGTGCTCTCTCTGTATGCGTGGATGCATAAATAGCATTGTTTAGTATGTGTAACGAGGATTTAGCTATTTCACTCCAGAGTGATTAATTCGTTACGACATACAGTGTAAGTTTTTATTTCCATTAATGCTTGTTATTAAATAAGTTATAAACTCAATTTTAAAAAACTGAGATTAAAAATTTATAGTCTAGGCATCATGTTTGTGCTCAGCGGCCATAGATTGACCCTATATATTTTGTATCATATGTACTCTTTCTATATTTCTAAATATATAGAAAATCTTTTAACAACAATGTTTTCATCTTATTAAAATTAGTATAAGAGATATTTATATCTTATTATTTTATATGTAAGATATATATTTTTTTAATTAAATAATATTAAAATAAATAATTTTTTAATTCTTTTCTCTTCACAAAAAGATAAAACTCACAAGCTATATATATTCATGAATCCTTTAAAGCTTCAAGTTTATAATTTTCATTATCTATTGTATATATATTTTTAGAATATTTTTCTCTAAAATATTATTATATTTTCTTTCTAAAAAGATACCTACTTAATTATATATAAATTTTAAAAATCTAACAAAGATAAATTCTTTGCAAGTATCAGCAATCAACTAGCTATATAGACTCACTAAATACCAAGTACTAGATATAAGTCATTTTAATTTAAAAAAAATATACAAGATTGTTATAACTAAAAGATTAATTAATTATTCAAAATATAAATCTTATTTCTAAACTATGTAAATTTTGTTAAATATTGTCATGAAGTTAATCATTGTTTATTGCAGTAATTAGAAGGAATTAGTAAAAAAACAAAAAATTACTAAAAATCAAGGGATTTCAAGAATTTTTCATCGTGGCAAGCTTGCTTGCAAATGAATTATTGATCAGTGGCACTCCATCATAACGGGCTTCGTCAGAAAGTTTTTTGATATATGATTTGAGCTTTACTTTTCTAAGCATTCCCATGAAATAGCCTTGACGTTGAAAGGAAAGTGAGCAAACAACGCTTACTAATTCGCCGCCATATGTGATGTAAATATGACGGTGTCCCTTCATACAAGTGAGTGTAAAAAATAATTAAGTGTATGATCAGTTTATCATTTTATAAAATAAACACCTTTGATTTTGGATTATTTGCATATTCTTTTTCTTTTTTAATAAATGATGAGGATAATACTTTGGAGTAAACATTCTATCATCATCATCTTTTTCTTCTTTTTTCCTCATATATCAGAGGGAGAAACCTCTGAAAAGAGGCTTGGAACTTTAGTTTTTTCAACCTTGGAAAATTTAATTAGATATCTTTTCTTTTTACTTAGCTCTTGCTTTACAGTGAGGATGAGATAGAACCGGGGATGGATTCGGATTTAGTTTAGAAAGATATTTTTTATGATTTTTTTTATTTAGTTTAGGAATCTTTATAAAACTTTATAATTATTTATTAGAATTGTTTTTCTTAAGATAAATTCAGAACTAGTATAAATATAGTTGTTTAGCTTTTTCTTCTTTTTTCCTCATATATCAGAGGGAGAAACCTCTGAAGAGAGGTTTGGAACTTTAGTTTTTTCAACCTTGGAGAATTTAATTAGATCTCTTTTGTTTTTACTTAGCTCTTGCTTTACAGAGAGGATGAGATAGAACCGGGGATGGATTCTGATTTAGTTTAGAAAGATATTTTTTATGATTTTTTTTTTATTTAGTTTAGGAATCTTTATAACAACTCTATAACTATTTATTAGAATTTTTTTCCTTAAGATAAATTCAGAATTAGTATAAATATAAATTCAGAATTAGTATAAATATAGTTGTTTAGCTTTTATTTTAGTAAAATATTTGAAAAAAATTATTTAACATATAACAAAATTTTAAATTAGAATTTTTATATAGTAATCATACGCGGTATAATTTTATGTTGCTTGTACTTTTTATATTTTCTCACATTGTTTTGTCTCTAGTGTGCATCATAAAGTGAGTATCTTTATATTATATTTGGACGATGAATGATAAGATAAGATCAGATAACATACAGAAATACTTGTTTTATCTTAGAGATGTATCACTATCAAATATGCAATGTTTGGAACAATAAATAGAAATCACTAGTTTTACTTTAGTTTATAATGAATATTGATTATTTTTTTAAATAAAAATCATAATTTCTCCATTAATAAAAATTATGTAAAAAAGAATTTGTAACCATTAAAAAAAACATAATTCATTGCTAATACAATAGAATAATTAAATCATGATTTACTCAATCATTATATCATCTCTCCAAATCTATTTAATAGTAAAATAAATAATTAAATCAATCATATGAGACACGTTGGTTAACATCTAACATAATTGAAATCACAAGAAAATATCAGAAATGCACTTCTTCTTTTTATCATTCAGTTCTCACCTCTTCATTAGTTTTGGTTAAAATCTAACACATTTTTTTAATATATTTTATTTTATTTTATAGTTTTCATATATTTAATGGTGAAATATAAGTTAAATTAAAACGAGGGATCAGATATGAATATAATAATAAAGATTAAAATTTTAAAATATTTAAAGGAATATTTATGAAAAAGATAATAATTTGATTATACAGCTGTCCCCTCCGTCCATGACAGAAAATTAACTAAAAATCATCCCTAAATAAAACAGAGACAAAAACTCATTTTAGCTTCCAAGTCCAAAAAACACCATCACATTTCTGATGACATTGTTCGCAGCAAAAAGAGCTAAATTCATCATTGCACCGTGAAAAGGAAGGTCTAAGAAGTAACAATTAAAAAAAATAAAAAGTCTAAGCTGTCCCAAGGTCACAGTGAAGGAGAGAGGGCTGCAATTTTCAATCAAGAGACATCCGTGTTGAAGAGACTAAAAAGAAAAGACTACATATTTGGCTTGGTTTTCCAAAGGTAACATGGGAGATTTATCATGAATTTTTATTGAAAATATTGAGGTGCACAGCATGAGCAAACAGCGTTAGGAATTCGAACTGGAGAACATGCCTTGGATACTGGGCAACCCTAGAAACATAGCTGGTAAGGGTGAAAAAAGAAAGAAAGCAGGCAGTACTTGTTCTATAGTTCTAGAATTTGTGTTTTTTGGTCGGTCTTCCTGTTGTGCTACAGTTTGGGGATATAAAAATACTGGAACTGAATTCAGAAATAAGAACGATAAGAGCATATCCCGTTTAAAACAGAACCTAATGTGGACGTACAAGGTAAGTCAACCAAACACGGATAACTCATAATATAATTTGGAAGATATAAATACGAAGGATTTACAAACGGGAAATTATAAGTTTCTTTTCCCATGCATATGCATATGCATATGGATCATATGGCAACTTGTCCACCGAACAAGAGCATTTAGCTAGTGTGGCATCAATCACCACTCGTCTTCTAGGCTAGCACGGTGAAAACACATGACAGTGCAGACAAATATGACAAATGATGTGAACTCAATCCACATAGCCCCGGTTTCAATCATATGAGCGTGCCTAAGGATAATGGGAATGGCTATACTCCCAACAGCTGACGCCCCCGTCAGGAATTTAGCAGCATCTATCCAACTGCAACACGAGATTTTACAGCAAATGAACAAAATGCTGTGAGAGGTGGAGCCATAACAAGAGCAAGGACAATGTTGACGTGACTAGCTAACCAATACATTCTAATGGAGCGACCATGCATTTCATGCATAGCTAGATATATGCCAATGATAGAAGTGCCAGCAAGTCATGAAGGTGTTTGATCTATCAAATAAAAAGTCTGATTTGTTGGGTAGGTAAGAAACATTATCAATTGTAAAAAGGGGCATCCCTCTTTTCTCTCTTCTTTTTCTTCCTTTAAAGCAAGATTCCTACTAAAATTCTACCAAATTCCTGTAAAAGCGACTTGCAGGGGTGGAAGTCAATAAGTTTTTTTGACCAGAATTGTTAACCAACCACATGCAATGAATGTTATCATGATGCATGAAATATACTCATCAATAATTTGGTCCTGATTATAATGGGAACATTTGCAAAACAAATATTTCATGAGGCCTAAAACAAAGAAAGAAAGAAAGAAACCACATAAAAGATAAGAACACCAACCAGCAACACTAGGAGTTCTAAAATAAGTACTAAAGAATGTAACACACGTTTTTGTTTAGCACTCACCCCCCACCATCCCTGCTGGTCAGAAACTGAGTGGACCCACCCCCAAAGAATAAGCAAGGCATAGGGACCAGCACATACATGAGAGCTGCAGGAACAGTAAATTACATTATCAACTTCTCAATTCATCATTGATTTACTTTACAGGTCAGATATAACAAACCTGATAGCATCGGCCACCAATTATTGTATATTGCACAAGCCTGCCATCCCAAAAAGAATTGACAAAAAAATCAATAAACAGAAAAGCATGATACACGTGATCCATTTTACAGAAAGCGTTTTCAGGCTTCCATTTGGCATTCCATCTCCAGCCTGGCACTCATCACCAGCATTATTGTTAATGGAATGTCAAAAGTCACCACAAGATGCCATCCGATACAACGAGACACCATGAAACAGTTCCCTGATAGGGAGTTTTATAACAAATAAGTCCTGTTGTAATTGCCATCTCAAAAAATTGGTTAAGGACAACTACACAAGTCCTCTCTGTCCATTCTGCCCTATCTAAAATCATATTCTCTATAGGATATTAAGAAATCAAACCGTGCTCTTTCTTTTTCTTAAAAAAAAAAAAAAACATTTCATTTAAGGTTTGCATGATACCTCAATTCTCCTTAATAAGCAAAAACTTCAGTGAGAAGCACCATGAGGGTGCAACCATATACAAAATCATGAACCTAATGTTCAAGAAAGTAATTCTAAAAAACCTCTAACCGAAAGAATATCTCCAAAACATCATTCGCTATGCCAAAGCATAAGTACCATCTTATCCATCAATCTAAACAAACATGGAGATGTGACTGCTCTCCCTCCACAGCCCTAGAATTAAGGTAAGAAGTTTTCTCCAAAAATACAGCCTTTATTCTAGCAGCAAATCAAGAAGGGTTTCAGAGGTCAGTCTGGAGAGTTTAATTTGATGAGAATAACATGGCGAGGATCACACTTTGCTTCAGATATTCTAAAAACAAAAGGACCTGAATTATGAGGCTTATTAGAGAATACAATGATATCTGACAATTTATTTTTATGTCTCAAATCCAAATCACCAAAGAAAAAATAAGCCAGCTAAGGAAAATATTAGACCAAGCTCCACTATGTTGCTCTTCTACTTAAATTGTATCAAAGCACCTAAGAATATACAAGCTACATAAGCCAGCAACATTTGTGAAACTCAGCTTGTTCACAAAGGTAAAACTGAGATAATATTTTGCCTAATGTCAAAATGACAATTTTCTCCACCTTAAAAGGTTTAACATTTCCACATACTCCAAAAGCCTTCTTGCCCAATATGACTTTGTGAACAATCCTGGCTTGCTTCATAATAGCTTCATAATAGTTAACTTCTTCTTGATCACTCACAATTCCACATCAAAATCTAGCAATCCTCTGTCCAGTCCTCTTTTCACGTTTTCTAGCGATATGATTATTAGATACAGTTTTGCTGGCCCCTACGATGGCTTTCCAATAAGAAATTTCAATTTCTTATTGAAAAGTTTGACATTTCCACATACTCCCAAAGCCACCTTGCCCAATTTTACTTCATGAACAATCCCGGCTTGATTCATAATAGCTTCATCATAGTTAACTTCTTCTTGATCACTCACAATTCCATATCAAAATATAACAATCCTCTGTCCAGTCCTCTTTTCATATTTGCTAGAGACTTGATAATTAGATACAGTTTTGTTGGCCCCTACTGTGGCTTTTCAATAAGAAACTTCAATTTCTCCTCAACTGGTAATAGAGCTATGATTGTCATGAGATCTATGCAGTCACAGCTAAACAAGGCAGGCAAATCTTGGATTCTCTATTCTCTTAACGTGGTTAACATGTAAACTCTATATGGTTAAGGTTGGAAACTGACTAAGAAAACGGGTGATAGTTGCCTTGTTTCATCAATTGATTTCTAGTCATTCTAAATGCCATAATAGAATCAATCATCATCCTATATTCAGATTAATCTAAAATAGGATTTAATACCTCTATTCTGCACAGAAAAAAACATAGCCTAGGATGTTCTAACTCATTAAAGATAATGACTAGATTTTGCAGACAAGTATGTGATCTCTTCCTTGTCTTATTATCCTAAAATAAAATTGGCCATTAAAAAAAAGCCTAAAGGAGGCACAAGGAGCAGAAATAGCAAAAGATTAGTTTATGCACCTAAATATCTCTTCTATTATAAGTGTCGAGAGTAAGAAACGAAAAAACCAGCAGAAAGCATTTATAAAGCACCTAAATATCTCTTGCTTGTCACATTGCATGCTAGATATATATAATTCATGAAATAAAATATGTATACACAGCAGTTGGAGAAAAGCGCCACAACACAACCAGCTTTACTGGATGCATACCAATATCTGTAGTAGAATGCTAGCCGAAAACATAAAAGCAAGACCAGCAAGCCTGAAATTCAACAAAATCAAATTATAAGCAATCTCATTATGTACCCAAGACAAGCTAAGATTACAGAATGAATTTCGAAACTTACACTGCAGACAACAGGAACAATTCCATTGAACCCAAATCAGCAACGCACCAAACCAGAAAAAAGGGGAAAAAAATAGTGAGCTCCCCAAATTATTTTAAAATAATCTAACAACAGCTGATAAACACAATTCCACCCATTAAAACAAAAAGATTCAGGAAAGGATAATCCGGGAAACTAACTATTACAACAAACCAGAACAGATGGAAGTCATCACGAAACAAGCAGAAAAACAGCAATTTATGAACAAACACTAAACCTTATTACAAAGTTAATCTCCAAACCCGCAAAATAGCCTAGACTGCACAGCTAACAACGCTAAATGTTGCCCTATAAAAATTAATCATGCTGCAAATTATAAAAATTACCGCAACATATCAATCTAAGCACCTTTATGAAATGGGCTCGATCAATTAATCAACACATCATTAAAGATCGAATTTTGAAAGAACCCCACAAAATCTTTTTCTAAAAAACCCCTCAAATTCCACACTTATCGAGTCCAAAACTTAGAAACCAAACCAAACTAAGTTTGGTTTCTAAGTTTTGGACTCGATAACAAACACTAAACCTTATTACAAAGTTAATCTCCAAATCCGCAAAATAGCCTAGACTGCACAGCTAACAACACTAAATGTTGCCCTATAAAAATTAATCATGCTGCAAATTGTAAAAATTACCGCAACATATCAATCTAAGCACCTTTATGTAATGGGCTCGATCAATTAAGCAACACATCATTAAAGATCGAATTTTGAAAGAACCCCACAAAATCTTTTTCTAAAAAAACTCTCAAATTCCACCCATTAAAACAAGCAGAAAAACAGCAATTTATGAACAAACACTAAACCTTATTGCAAAGTTAATCTCCAAATCCGCAAAATAGCCTAGACTGCACAGCTAACAACACTAACTGTTGCCCTATAAAAATTAATCATGCTGCAAATTGTAAAAATTACCGCAACATATCAATCTAAGCACCTTTATGTAATGGGCTCGATCAATTAAGCAACACATCATTAAAGATCGAATTTTGAAAGAACCCCACAAAATCTTTTTCTAAAAAAACCCTCAAATTCCACACTTATCGAGTCCAAAACTTAGAAACCAAACCAAACTTTAAAAAAAAAATTGATAATTCGACATACAATTTCTTTCAAGAAAAGTTTAATTTTAAAGGTACGGTGAAAACAACAGTAAAATTGATTTAGCATTCGAAGAAGTAACAAATAATAGGGTGATTGAAGAGATCGAAGCAGAGAAAAATTTGTTAAGCCGTACCTTCAACTGTCATGGCCATTTCGTTAAACAAGAACGAAGCTTCTGTCGGTAAAGATCGAGTTTTTTCTGTTGTGTATGAACAGAACGACTCGCTTTAGAAAGACTGAAGTAATAAAGTTCGGTTTTCTTGTTAGGAAATTAACGCCAAGAGGGAGGGCAGAAAGTTACAAGTAAATAAATAAATAAACTACTTGTTTTAGAATTTTGTTTCGGTGTTTCACAGGAGGATAATAGTTGTTTTTTTGAAGTAATTTTTATTTTAAAATATTTTAATATTAATATATTAAAATAATTTAAAAAATATAATTATTAATTAGTTGAAGATCCTAGCTTGAGCGTTGGGGCATTTATTTAGTTTCCATTATGACTATATATTATTTTGATGATATTGTTCAAAATGAAGGTAAATTCTCAAATAGAATTAAAATTAAGTTATTTTACTTCATTTGTTGTAATCTTATAGTTATTGTTGAAGAACCATTTGGAAAATTTATTTTATGAAAATCGAGAAGATTTCATTTATAATTGACATGGGGATATAAACTATTTTGTCTTTGTGAATTTTATTATTTATTTATTTTTGTAAAATTTCATATCTAGACACAAATCTCCATGAATATTTTTTTTTTCACTTCCCTTTCTTTTCTGCAGACACAAATCTCCATGATTTTTTTTTTCACTTCCCTTTCTTTTCTCAAAGCTATTTGTATAGTTTCTATAGTGTTTAAACATGAAAAGTAATATATCTCATATCCATCAAAAATGCTTAATCAAAATTTTGTATAGTTTTTATAGCGTTTTTTGTTTTTTGGTATCAGTATTTAAGTTTTTTTATTGATTGAAATTGAATTTTTCAAAAATCCTATCCTAAAACTAAAATAAAAAAATTAATATGATTTTTATAATTATTTTCTCGATGCATATTTAAATTTAATTATTAGTTATTTTTTTATTTTAAAAAATAATATTTTATCGTTCATTTCATTTCATGATTGAATTGAAAGATAATAAGGATTAAAATAACCCATAATTCAACTCCTGTATTATCATAAACTTTTGAAAAACTCAAAGGACATTGAAGTGAATTAATAATCTGATATAAGAAATGGTTTTATTAATTATTTTTTCTACTCTTACATCTTATCATAAGATATTCAATATATATTTTAAATAAAAGTTTATAATTTAAATTAGTTTAAGTGAAAATAACTTACACTTATGCTAAGAAATTATAATTTAAAGTTTTTCATTAAAAGTTTCTCTTGTTTTCTCTTCTTGTAACATGGTATTGGTGTTTTAATTTATTTTTTTTCTTTGTATTTTTTACTAGAGGGACTCATTTAATATGTTCATCAATTTTCTACTACATGGAAAAAAATCATTGGTTAAAATTGACACATAAATAAGCTGTGTCTTAATCATAAAAAAACAATTGTATATATTTTATTATTATACTAGCAATAAGGCCTGAGCCTTTGCGCTGGCTGGGTTTAATATAAGTTTTATTTGGTTACCATATTTGTTCGGTGAAGGATAAACCGTTGTAAATAAACTTTATTTATTCAGAAAGATGCAACGCCCAAACACAGATGGAGTTGAATAATGAATTGTACTAGAATTTGGAATCAACAGAAAGATCTTGCACATAAAGCCTGAAAATCCCACTATCAGTAAGAGAGCTCTGTGTATTCAAGGCACGGACTCAAGAACATCTGCAAAGAGCTGCGCTAGCTTCTTCTCATTCTGCATCAGAATGGATGGTTAAGCAACGTCTTTAAATGGCGAAAGGGAATTAGCAGTAAGGACGATGGCACTGTGTTTAATCATCAAGCAATGGCTCGCTTGGTTACAACAAAACTTAAGCTTGTGCGAGAGAATGGATCCTTAATCTCATGATCTTTTCCTGGCATGAAATCCTAATATTTCGCTACTTGTGTTCCTGTCATATAGTTTAATGATGAGAACATCTTTTTCTCAAGGAGTCTTGTAAGAATTTGAATGTCTATAGGAAATTCCAGTCTCATTCTTTCTCGATCCCCTTAACGGCATGATTTGGTTGGGTATTCGATACTTCGGTTCAACCAGATCTTACATTTCTCTATATATATGTATATATGGAGGTCGATTAATATTGTTTTCATGATACAAATAACTTTGGTGATGGAGGTGGCGAAGACAACAACAGAGAGGGCAAGCTGACCGGGGTGTCCTACAATTATCACAGGCACAGCGTGCAGTAGGTACGGCAACACAGAAACAGCAACCATTGGTCTTGCTAAATAGCTAACCATTTCTTTCATACTTTATATCTTGTTGGGTTTTTAATATTATGTACATAGTTAAAATAATAAAATAAAATTATTTATGAATCTCTTGTATCTTGTTAAATAAATTTAAAGTTATTTAGAAATTTATTACTTGAAGATATAATCTTTTTCAACTTTAAATAATTCTTTAAAAATTAAATTGTTATAAATTACAAGTTATTTAATTGTTCAACATTTAATAATAATTCACAAGAATTACCAATAAGAAATCTTCTAAATACCTATTTAGAAAAGAGAGATTTCTATGTGTAAAATGTTAGCTTTTTATTATGTGATTTACGTGGTTTTTTCTGTCTAATAGATTACCATTAAAAATATGAGACATAACTTATTATTTATAGAAAAATCTCAAAAAATCCTATAAATTAATAAAATATCAATTTGTCACCTGAATAATATTCTTCTGAATAATATCAATTTGTCACCTGAATAATATTCATACATTAATTCAAGATAACTTTAGAAATTAACTCAATCTAGTCTTTATTTGATTTGTCTAGGTCTAGAAATATATCTATGTATTAATTATATTTTAGTCCTCAATTTCTAAAATATATTTTAACCAAGTCATACTCAATAAAATCATCTCAAATTAATTTTTAACTAATGGTTCTTAATATATTGGCCTCAATATAAATTATAATTCTAATTAAATATAATTAAATAAATTAAACAATTTAAATTATTATCAATTCAACAATTAATTAATTTATATTTGAAGATCAGACGTATTGTCTATCAATATATTATGACTCCCTAAATATTAAAAAAATTATTAATGATTTGACTTAATATTTTAATGACTGATTTTTTAGTATAATTAATATTATTTTATCAATAATGTCTCAATTTAACATTAAAGCATGATTGTTTGAATAAGATTTGAAATTATTTTCAAATATCATTCCACTTTGGTAAATAATTTCTCAGTTAATACTATTTGAGAATAGATGAAATATTTTTCCTCATTCACCTAAGATGATGAATCTTCTCTTGATCACTTGAATACTTTCATATAGTTCATATTATATCTAATTGAGTACTTTCATATAGTTCATATTATATCTAATATATGTCATTTCGTTACCTCAATTAAAAGAACATGTAACATGATCAAAACATAACATCATTTATATAGGTTAACTTAATGATTTCAAGACTAAGGATCAATTATACAACTGTCACGTGAGTCTTTTTATAGATATAAATGGTTTCTTTATATAAAATTCTCGTGCGGGTTAGTTCAGTGTACGTGTCTTATAACAAGCATCTACATATTAGTTATATGTATCTCTTATATATTAGCTTATGAGAACAACTGCTTCATTCATAAAAGAAAGAACATAATATGTAGTAGTCTCTATGACTCTAATAAATATTCAGTATTTAAGAGAGTATCAACTAGAAATATTTTAGGAATAATGTTTTGATGCAATATCAACTAGAAATATTTTAGGAATAATGCTTTGATGCAATACGAATTTTATAATTATTACAATTTTATAATTTTTTTGCAAAACATTTTTGTCCTATAAACTTTATCTTTACTATATATTTATAAATTAAATATTAGATTTATTAATATAACATTATATGAATATTAAAGATAAATTAAGTTTTTATTAATAGTAAATATGTATTTATATGAATATAATAATACCACGTATAATTAACCAATTGGATACAGGACATATAAAATTAACAATTTTTCACTTGCACTAAAGTCAATTGCTCATGTATCTAATACCATATTGCTTCATGAAGCATTACTATTTCTATAGGGATAGTGATTTAGTGAAAGGATCTTATAGATTCTTTTCGGTTATCTTAATATCTTTATTTTATTGATTTTTCAAATCAAATAAAATTTAATAAATACTTGTTTGGATAATTGATGAGACCTTGTTCATTTGCTCATATAATGACTTTAATTTTATCATAATAAAAAACAACTAGATCAACAATGCAAAGAACAAACTTGCTTTATTGAGAAACTTCTTAACCTAAACAACCTTTTTGTTTTCTCAAATATGGATGTGTACTTTTACTTAGTTATTGAATCGTTTGTGCTCTCTTGTTTGGAATTCTTCCAACTCATAGCACTACCATTTAAAATAAAACATATATATTAACTAGTATTCACTATTTTTCCAACATTTCATTGAAAAAATCTTAATTCAAACAATTTTGAACTTCTAGTTTAACTTTTCTATTAATAGATTCTATAGTCAAGTATATGTTACCATTTTCGTCATATTTATCTTAATTCATGTCTTAAAACATATATCTTTGGAGGTCGATGTTCCATGCAAAATAGATAAGAATCTAATTTTAGATTCTTTCATGCTAAACTATTTTAGCATATAGTCTATATGCATGAATTTGGATAATTTAAGCAACCTTCTAAATCTATCTTTATAGATCTTTATATCCAATATATAGGTTACTTCTGCCAATTTTTTTATGAAGAAATTCTTAGACAACCATGATTTTATTGATTAAAGTAAAGATAAGTAATTTCTTAACAATAATATGTTATTTACATATAATATTAGAAAACAATACCACTTTCATTAACCTATTGTAAACATAAGGTTTATCCACATTTCTTATGAAATTATATATGTTGATTATACCATTAAAATTGAATATTTTTATTCCTTAAAGCTTGCATTGCACATGTATATATTATCTTTCATGTTAGTTTTTCTCTTAAAGACCCACTTGGATCCATTAAATTTTATCCCTTTAGATGGATCAACCAAGTTATAATCGTAGTTAGTCATAAAATTCATAATTTCATGTTATTTATTAGAATAAATATCATATATTTCTTCTAAATAA